ATCATAATAGTAACTCCGAATATAGACACCCGAACGCCTCAAGGGTAGGCTGCGTAGGGCTAGGGGTTATGGGCCACAGGTCCATGGCTCCGGCAGGTAGCCTCTAAAAACTACCCTACACCCTAAACCCTCTAAACCCTAGGCCCTCAAGTGAAGCCCTCCTCCCTGGAACTCCCCACCTTGCAGCCGAAACCCCTAACTGGACCCCAAAAGTATGTGGGTAGTTTTCTAAACTAGGGTCCCTTTTTGGGTCCCCAATATAGTACGGCACCCTTATACAAAGGACCCCAAAAGGAACCCAAATTATGTAGAATGCTAGCCTTTCATGGGTTTCGGGCCATTATTTTACCTACTGTTTTGGGGTTTAGGTGACCATCGAAACCCGAACAACCCTGAGCCCTGAAACCTAGACCCTCAAAGCATATAGTAGGAGCCAGAAAGTTGGATCATTATTATCCTCATGCCCTTAAGGTAAAGTATAAGGGATCCTAGCATGAATCCTGCTAATTTAAACCTCATGTTCCAAGTTTCTGGGCTGCGCTGTATACCTATTCATCCGGGTCTACGAACCCTAACCCCCCCAGGTACCTACTATATAGGGCCCTAGAGGCTCTAGTACCCTATATAGTAGGTACCTGGGGGGTTAGGGGAATTCGGATTCCTGAGGTGTGTAAGCCCGCTGAACGACATGGGCCCCGGCGTGCGCTTCAAGCGCTTGATCCCCGAGCGCGATCCGGAGATCACGGCGAATCCGGAAAAGGCATGTACCTCACGGCTACAGGTACTTATCTACAGCATCTATCTATCTATCTGTCTAGCTATCTATCTGTCTATCTATCTGTCTATCTATCTATCTATCTATCTATCTATTTATCTAGACATCTGTTTCAGAGTGTTTTTGTATGAAGACATATAGTTAGATAGTTGGATGGTGCGATAGGTAGATAGATAGATAGATAGATAGATAGATAGATAGGTAGATAGATAGGTAGGCAGGTAGGTAGGTAGGTAAGGTAAGGTAGAGTATACTTTGGCCAGAAAGGGTGACTATATCACGGCTTTAGTGCCAAAGTGTGGACTCTACATAGGTGCATGGAGCCTTCTTCTGACACATTTTACTGAGGTTTAGGGGTTTAGGGTTTAAGGTTTAGGGTCTAGGCTTTAGGGCGGCCAGGGGCTCCGAACTTAGATGTGCGCGCGACTCACGGAAGGACGTGCTACAAGCTTGCAGGTTCTCATGATGATCCCCAAACCTTGAAATCCTACACCCAAAAGCCTCAGCCATCAAGCCTAAACCACGCTACTGTCTTGCATGCATACCAGGGTGTCCATTTCCAAAACTTCCCATATCCTTAGAAAACAATTACCAAACATGCGCCCCTCGCAGGCCCTTGCTACACCTTAGGGTTTAGGGTTTAGCTTTTTGTTTTCTGAGAATAGCCGCCCATGTGTTTTGGCGTCAGGTGGATCGACTCGTGTTCTGCTCCGGTAAGCTTTACTACGAGCTGGTGGCGGAACGGGAGCAGTGTCCTGACTTGGGTGCAGGGTTTAGGGTTTCGGGTGTCCCAACATATGTCTTGAATAGTAGAACCCTCCCCGAAGCCTTCGTCATGGAGCCCCCTAGAACAACCCCCTCTACCCTTTCAGATGTAATTGGGAAACCCTTTGGAGCTCTAGTGTTGTGGGGCTTAGGATTCCAAGAACCTCCCGACAAATAGTTTGGCAAACGAAGGGCCGCACAAGGGAAAACCGAGTGCAGCAGTTCAGCTGTTGGACGGCAGTCACTAAATTCAATACTCCTGAGCCCTCAAACCCCAGGGCGCATGCTGTAGATCCTAAACCAGAAAGCCTCTGCCCAGATCCCAGAACGTACTGGTAAGGCCTTTTGCTCTACCCTTTTATCGTAGTGGGGGTTCAAGACCTATCACTTTGCCGGGTTTGGGGCGAAAGGCAGTCCCCGAAACCTGTTTTTCCTTAAGGGTCCTTCAGGCTGGGTCTCAAGAATGTTGCCATCGTCACGCTGGAGCAGATTGCGCCATTCCCCTTCGACCGTGTCAAGGACATGGGGTTCGGTGTTGTTGGCTTTGCCCCCAGCCCCCAGCCCTGGACCTAAAGCCGAATTAAGGCCTAAACCTAAACTCCAAAGCCTAAACCCGACACTCCGAACTCTATGTATATATCACATACATATATATATATATATGTTATATAGGTATGTATACACACACATACATACACCAACACGCACACACACACACAGAGAGCAAGTACAAATTCTCTGAACATTGCTGGCTTTGGGGAGTTCGGATTCTGGTTCAGGGTAGTTTGATTGATGCAGTAAGCCACCTTGGAGAGCCGAAGGAAGGTGGCCCCAAATGTGGCTTTGAGGTGTAGGCTTTAGGATTCAGGGTTTAGGGTATAGGGGTTTAGGGTTTAGGCTTTAGGGCTTTTAGGGTTTATAGGGTTTAGGCTTTAGGGTTTATAGAGTTTAGGGCTTATAGGATTTAGGGTTTAGGGCGCAGAAACCCCATCGGAGTTATCCATGTGAGTAGCACTCCCAAGCTCCCAAGCCTCGATCCTAGAATTCACAACGCCCTCATCCACTTCTCTCTCCTGGCAGACGATGATGGAGATGTTCCCGAACGTCGACATGGGTGATGGGGTCCATCCTGGCAATGCCCGGGACCCAAGAGAAAGCTCGCCGGCACTGCTGCTTAGAGTTAGCGTGAGGCCCTTGAGGCAAAGCATGGGGAATCCCAGCACGAATCGCCCCAAGCATAAATCCATGTTTTTACTCCGTGGGGATTATTATAGCTGTTTTGGATCTGTAAGCACTAAAAGCGTGGTCGAATTTTTATGGGCTCCTCTCAGCAGCCTTTAAAGGGATCGCTATTTCCCCTAAACCGCTTTATCCTGAACCCTCTCATCGGTTGATGACAAGACGCTGATCGGTTCGGAGTTCAACATCCCAAGCATAGATCTGAGCCCAACGAGCAAGGATAGAGAAGGGCTTCGGCATTGTCTGAGGTCTTCTAGGGTATTGAAGAGTTCTTTTGCGAGGTTTTCTAGGGTTTGGGAGTTTAAGGTTTGCATGTGTCTCTGGGTTTATGGTTGATTCTAGCGAGGGTATGAAGTGGTGAGCAATTTAGGTTCGCAAACGGACCTTGATTCGGGACTCTGCCTGCCGACCTCCATCCCACACCCACAAGCCCTACATAGCCATATTAGAGTCCTCTAGGACCCGGTAAAACCCTGTTAAGTCCGCTCAACCTTGCAAGACCCCCTGCAACATCCTCCCTTTAGTAAGATCGTTACGCCCACCCGGCGATACATTTCATGCCAGTGTGTCTCAGGTCATTTGGTGCCAGGAGGAGCCCAAGAACATGGGCGCTTGGTCTTACGTGGCCTCAAGCGTGTTTGATCTTTCTAGTGGATTTTTAAGACCAGACACCTTAAACGAACCCCTTGAACAGCCCTCATATTCTTCAAAGTCGCATTATGCCTGCATCAAAAGCCTACTTCGAGGATCAGGGGACTTCGTAAGAAAGGTTCTATATTATGGGTGCATGTTATAAGTTATAAGTGCCTCAACTTCGGCTTATAGGCACTGATTAGAGTTTTCTTGTTAGTAACCCTAAACCCTAAACCCTAAACCGTCACTTAAAGTCTCATGCTTCGTGAAGTGCCAGAGTCCGCTGGGGCTTGAACCAGGGGGTCGCAGAGTATTGAGGGCTTTTGGGGCCGTTGAGGGCTTAGGGCCATTCAGGGCTTTTGGGGCTGTTTAGGTCAGGGTTTAGGGTTTAGGGTTAGGTGCTGTCAGGGGAGTTTTGAGTGCCTTGATGCTTCTGGTTTCAGGATCATTCCAAGGCTAGGTTGCCTTTCTTCAAGGGTGTTCAGCGCTGTAAGTGTTTAGTGTAGGGGCCTTAATAATTACCTTTTCTATTTTTTGGGGGGTCCTTGTCATATTTATAGTACAATATACACCCGAACCCTAGTCTAATGATTAAGGCCCCCACTATAGAACCCTATTATAGATCCCTGTAAGGATCCCTTTAAAGGATCCCTTTGAAGGAGCCCTAGTCTAATTATTAAGGCTCCTATAGTAGGGTTTGAGGCACTCACAGCTTCAAGAAGCATCGTCCCTGGTACCCAGAGAACCCAGTACCCCTTAATTAAGGAATATACCTTTAATTATAGGGGTCTTAAAGGGATCTATAAGAGTTTAGGGTTTAGGGTCTTACAATTAGGGGCCTTAATATCAGGATTTAAGGTATATTCCTTAGTTAAGGGGGTATTGGGTTCTCTGGGCATAGACAGCTGCCCCTTCGCCAGGTTCGCCCCCGTTTCGTCACAACGGCGCGGGAAGGTCTGGATAAGGACATGGTCATGCGTTGGGGCCCCAGAAACCTGCTTAAAGTTCAAGGCGTAGAGTGTAAAGGATCCATAAGAAGTGAGAGGCTAAGGCTAAGGCTTAGGGTTTTGTGTGTATGGTTTAGGTGTGTAGGGGACCCGAAACCCCAATCCATAAGCCCCCAACGCTTTAGTAAGCCCTAAGCCCTAAACCCAAACCCCTGAACCCTAAATCCCTAAACCCCTAAGCCCCTAAACCCTAAGCCCGTGAGCCCTAGACCCTAAACCCCAAGTGTACGGTTTTCAATTTTCGGTAAACCTTGTAGCGTCGACTCTAGGCCCGATATGACTGAGGCAGGAGGCACGGCTCGAGAACCCTGAGCCACAAAGCTTGAAATAAACCCGAAGGATCCGTGTAACAATGTAGTCACATAGTATATACATTGGCCCCAAAGTACCTATATAATCGGGACTTCTTAGGCCAAAGTGTCTACTACGTTGGGCACATAAGCGAAAGGCTACAACCCGAAAAGCCCGGCATCTCAAAGACCTAGACACTACACCCATCTACACCCCCTACACCCTGCAACACTAACCCATCCTTTTGTACTATAACTATAGTAAGGAACCCCAAAATAGTATAGGCTTTGCAGCTAGGCCTGTCTGTTCAATGCTGGAAGGCCTGGGCCATTAAACATTTTGGGTTTAGGGTTTAGGTCCTCGAAAATAATGGTGCTACTATCAACTCGGGTTCCGTACTTTGTGAAACTGTCATATTCAAGAGGGCGCAAGTGGAAGTAAGAAAGACGTCTACTCTTCTGCTTAGAACATGAAAAAGTGGGAGTAATAACCAGACACACACACGACATATATATATATATATATATATACCAATACATATACTTATATATATATATACATAACTTTACTAACCATCCCTTAAGAGGTTTCTTGTCTTGTTTGATGCTTGAGTCTCAACCTTCTGATTCAACGTTGAATGCCGCTGGCCCAAAAGACTAAATGTTATCCTTAGTCGACTGTAATTTCTGCCCCTTTCACCTAAACCCCAAACCCTAAACCCAAAACCTTAAACCCTAAACCTAAACCCTAAAACCCTAAACCCAAAGCCCTAAACCCAAAACCCTGATACCAAAGCCCTAAACCCTAAACCCTAAGCCCTAAGCCCTAAGCCCTAAACTGTAACCCCTAAGCGAGGTTACGTCGGCCGCCGTGCCGCAGCGTCGCCTGCGACGGGCTACCCGAAGCTGCACAATGCAGAGCAGGAGGCTCTTGTAAAGGCCGGAGCCACCTGGGTAGTTTTCGGAATCTGGGTCCCTTTTGGGTTTAGGGTTTAGGGTTTAGGGTTTAGGGTAGTTTTCTAAATGGTCCCTGTCAGGGCTTTGGGGTTTTAGGGTTTAGAGTTTAGGGTTCAGGGGTTCCTTTTACAAGACTTCGGGTTTGCCAGCACCCCCCAACTACCCCCTACTATACCCGAAATACCCACGATTGAGGACCATAAGGGCTCTATAAAGTGGCACTTGGAGTTGCTGGTAGGGTTTAGGGTTGAGGAGCCGCGTGGTGGTGGACCAACGGAGTTTAGGGCTTTAGGGTTTTAGGGTTCTTGAGTTTAGGATTTAGGGGTTTAGGGNNGTTTAGGGGTCTAGGGTTTAGGGCAACACATGGGTATTATATAGATCTCTAAATTAGGATCCCTTTCAGAGTCCTTTTGTAAGGGTGCCGAACTACGCAAGGACCCAAATTTCCAAAGCTACTCACCTGGTGGCGGACTACTGGTATACCCTTGTAGTCCCTATCAATGTAAGCTCAGTAGAATAGCAACATACTCCCAAAGACATTGAAACTCGATTCTAATGATGTAGGCCCCTACATTCTTCTAGGTCTGCCGGTTGTCTTTGGCCCTTTTCATGTTGGGATGTCTGTATCAAAACCGAAGAGTTGAGAACAAAGGTACCCTTGTTAATTATAAATGGCCTGCAGTGGAGCCTAGCATATGCAGGGCTCCAGTGATAGCCCTTATTACTTATAGCCCCACCTAGGCATCTAATTATCGTGTGATGTATCCCCAATACCCTTTTCTTATTATGAAGGCCCCCATACAGACATTGAAGTGCGAGTATGGAAAATTTGTAATCTGGTTCTGTGTCTGGTTTATTTGTGTTTGAGTTTTGTCCCGCGGGATCAGGTTCTGTTCCTGTCTGACTAAAGCCTACCACCTAAACCCTTACAAAACCCCGATACCCTAAACCCTAAACCGTGGTCTAGCTCGAAGAGCCCCTGGTTTGCCAGGAAGCACTGGTGGGACACGACGATGAGGGCTGGACTGCCACTGGGCGGACACGAAGAACCCAGTTCAGGGCAAAGGGTTTGGCTTTGCTATGCTGCGGCTTGCTGTTGAGTTTTGTATGTTACCCTACCTAGGGGTAATAGGGGTAACTTCTAGGGGCAATAGGGTTAACTTGATCGAAAATAAAATGCACCCTAAATCCTAAACCC